CCATGAGACCCCCCCGTGCCCACTGTGAGGCCCCCCCCCGGGTGCTCACCGGGAGAGCCCTGGCCCTCTGGGTGGCCTCTGAGGTTGCTGCTACATGCCTGATCCTGAACAAGGTCCCCAGAGATCTCAGCTCTCCCTGCCCCCAGGAAGCCCTGAGTCTAGGGAAAAAAGAACCAGATTCAGAGAGTCCCACTACAGTCTCAGGCTGGGGCTAGGGAGAGGGAGAGTCTTCCGAGGGCATCACAGAAGGCTGCATGGAGGAGGGGACTTTGAAAATAGGGCTCTGCAGTTCGAGTAAGAGTTTGCCAGACAGGTTAAGAGCAAGAACAGTCCGGGCAGAGTAAATGCTGTCTAAGGTCTCGATCTGTTAGGGGAGAAGTGGTAAACTTGTCTGCCTGTGGAATTGAGGCCAGCGAGGCCTGTACTGGACCCCCCCGCAAGCAGGAGGGGGCAGAGGGGAAAGTGAGGCCCAGAGGACTTCTTTCTGCCGAGCTCAGCCATGGCAGGTCTGGGTGGTAGCTTGACTTTGAAACTGGCGTCATGGCCGATGAAAGAGATTGGGCAGCAGAGGTGAGACGGAAGGTGGGGACCGGATGGGGTCCGGTTGTGGTGCTCGCTCCCTCCCATGGGGGACCAACTGCAGGGTCCCCAGGGGTCGCTCAGACCGGGCCCTGGCGCCACCACTGAGAATTTTGCCGGGCAACCACAGGCGTTAAACCAGGCGCGGAGGCAGGCCCACAGCCACCTGCATCGCGTGGGTAGGACACGAGGCACGGGCCGCTGGATAGGCCCATCCGCGAGCCACGCCTCTGCTGTGGCCGTCAGGACTGTCTGTGGGTGGTTCTGCCACGGCAGGCCCGTGGTCCAGGCCGGGTGGGCCCAGCCACCACGCAGGAGCTCACTGAAGGAGGGATGTCCCAGGAGCGAGGGAGACCCAGGGATTACCCGGGACCTCGAGGCAGCAGGGAGAGACGGCCCGGGCTCAGGGGAGTCACGGGGCCTCCCGGCAGATGAGCAGCGTGGCAGTCAGGAGCAGCCTCCTGGGTTGCTCCGATCCGGGGGGACAGCGCCTGGTACCGAATACCGACGTCCCAGGCGAAGTTCTGGTTCCTTCTGGCCGGGTCTGATGTGTCCCGAGTGAACGGTGAGATCCAGAAGGATGAGCCCAAGGCTGGGCCCCGAGAGGACAGACCGCGGTGACCTAGGCGGTGACACACGTCCAGGGCTGCGCTGTGGTCCCGGCAGCCCCAGCCCTCAAGCACAGGCTGCAGAAGAGCCCCCGGGCCACCCAGCCGCTCAGAGGTGCCAGGTTCAGCTCCGGCCAGGCCCAGGCCCTCAGCGCCTGGCGCAGGGTGGAAATGCCCTGGGAAGAGGGCGCGAGGTGGTGGCAAGGCTCCCTGCGGGACCAAGGCCCAGTGCCACCCCAAGGCCTCCCTCCCTGCCGCACACACGCAGAGACCCTGAATGTCCCCAGGCCCTCCCACAGCCAGCTAAATTACAGGACACTCAGTTAAAGTCGGGCCCGCAGGTGGCATGGTGGTGAAGGCCCTGGACTCCCACATGGTCAACCAAGGTTCGAGTCCTGGACCTGGCAGCTTGCTTTCTCACTACCCCCCTTCTCTCTCTCTCTCTGTGTCTCTCTGGCTCAGGTCAAATAGAAAAATAATAATAATAGGGGCTGGAAGGTGGCATGGTGGTTAAGGGTGCTGGACTCCCACATGGCCAACCCCGGTTGTAGCCCTAGACCTGGCGGCTTGCTTTCTGTCTCTGTGTCTCTCTCTCTCTTGCTCTGTCTCTCTAGTTAAATTAAAATAAATAAAGTTATATAAAATAATTATTTTATTATCTTAATTTAATAATTATTCAAATTAGTAATAAATGAAATAAAATAATTCTTAGAAGCCAAGCTGTGGTGCAGAGGGGAACTGTATGATAGTGTAAGTATATCCCAGGAACGGCTGGGGTATACCTGTCCTAGGGAAATCGCTTCCCTGTCTGAAATCACGTCGGGCCGAGCACCCTTACTTCTCTCGGGAAGATGGGGAGGCAGCTCAGAGGAGTGGGGCACGAGCCTGCTGCCGGGGGAGGCCAGGCAGCCCAGGCCAGGCGGTCCCATGGGGAGCTCAGCGTCCTCCCTGGCGTGGACACAGCCCAGGGTCGGCGTCGCTGGTCCAGGACCCACGTGGCCGCCGCGTTACTAGTTCTTTTGTTAGGGCACGTTCTCTCGCAGGAGAGAGACGGAGAGAGGGAGAGTGAGAAATCACTCCCCGTCACGCCACAGTCCTTTCTCCGGTCTCCTCTCGGGGTCTTGGGCACCCACAGTCGGCCACAGGACTGGCGCCTTCCGCCGCGCCCAAGGCTGGCCAGCGTTTCTCCTGGGTATTCCCAACCGCGGGGCCGGCGCCCGGCGGCGCAGGTCGATCCCGCGGCCCGGGTCTATCCCGTGCCCCAGGTCTGCCCGGCACCCCGGGTCTATCCTGCGCCCCGGGGCCTATCCTGTGCCCCCCGGGTCTGCCCGGCGCCCCGCCCCGGGTCTATCCTGTGCCCCAGGTCTGCCTGGCGCTCCAGGTCTGCGCCTGCGCCCCAGGTCTGCCCGGTGCCCAGGGTCTATCCCGCGCCCCAGGTCTACCCCGCGCCCCGGTTCTGCCCGGCACCCCGGGTCTATCCCGCGCCCCATGTCTGCCCGGCACCCCAGGTCTGCCCGGCGCCCCAGGTCTGCCCCGCACCCCAGTTCTGACTGGCGCCCCAGTTCTGACTGGCGCCCCGGGTCTGCCCCGCCCAGCTGTCTGGACGGCCAGGGGCCATGAACAAGGCCCAGGTGACTGTGACAGCGGGGAGGGGAGGCGGCCGCCCCGCTAGGCTGGCGGTGCGGGCGGGGCGCGGAGCCACTTCCTGTTTCGCAGCCTGGAAAGCCCCAGCGTTCCCGACAGGGCAGCACCCTGGGGTCTGAGTCCTGCCACTTCTGCTTTCCCAGCCGCCTCCCGCAGCCCCCTGCCCGCCGCCCCACACTGACCCTCTCCGGCCCCAGCCGGCCGGTCCCCTGTGCTGGAGGGGAAACTGAGGCAGGGAGCAACAGGGCCTGCCCCACCAGTCTCTCCCTGTACCTTTGTCTCTGTCTCCCTGTCTCTCCGTCTCTCCACAGCCCGTCCAGCACCATAGTCCCCTGCAGCCAGGCCCACCCTACCCCTAACGCCCACCCCCACTCCTCTGTCCCACTTGGCCCAGTGCAGCTCCAGCCAGGAACACAGACCCGCAGGACAGGTTTGAGAGCCCTGGCCTGCCCGCACAGCGAGGAGGGGCCTACTGCCAGGCCGAGGCCCGGGTGTCGACAGCTGGCAGGCCAGGGGCCAGCAGCCCCACCGCCACGGAGGAGGCAGGAGGGCAGCAGGGCACATGAGGGCCCAGGGGTGGCCGAGCGCCTGCAGGGCCGGGCCAGCCTTGACAGAGGGCTGGGGAGCCACGGGTGCTGCGGTCAGTGGGGCCAGGCGCTGGGTGGGGCACAGGGCCACCTCTGCTGACGTCTGCGTGGAGGGTCTGGCTGCTGCCCAGTCCCAGGGCCCTCCTGTCAGGGCCCACAGTGGACGATGAGGGAGGAGGGAGGGCCCCCAGGCGCCCCTCGCCCCATCAGGGGTACCTGGGTGCCAGGAGCCCCCATGCCATCATGCACTTTGGCTTCAGAACCTCAGAGGAGGTGCAGTTGGCGGCCGGAGGATGAGGGCCCAGCGGGTGTGTTCGTGGAGAGACTGCAGGAGCCCTGCGGGCCTTCCCGAACACCTGCAGATGGGCGTGGCCTGAGGATGTCCAGGCCTCCCAGCTGATGGGCTGGGACATTGGCCTTCAGGGCGAGTCTGGGCAAAGGTCCCAGGAGGGCGAGGCCGGCGGTCCCCACCACCCCGTCCTGGGCACTGTCCGGGCCAGCTCCAGCTGGGAGCTGCGTCGAATCTGCTGGGACTTTTCTGGGCTGGACCTCAGAGAGCATGCACAGCCCCAGGGGGATTCCAGATGCCCTGTCCTGGCTGACACTCCCACAGATGAGTGGAGGAGAGGGGAGTGAGGCCTGGCCAGGCCCTGGGCTCCCCCAGACAGAGAGAGAGAGTAGTGGTCACGTCACTGGACTCCCATGTAGGCGATGGCAGTTCGAGTCCTGGACCTGGTGGCTTAAAACTCATGCCAGGCGTGCCCAAGATCCCGAGAGGAGAATGGAGAAGGGACTGTGTGGCCATCCCCCAGGGGGTGAGTTCGCTCTCTGACTCTGTCTGTCCATAGAGCACATGCGCCATATAGCAAAAATCTCTTTCTCTCAAAAAAAAAAAAAAAAAGAACAAGACAGGGTGACAGGGTGGGACTGGCAGAATGGGCGCCCCACCTCACCCCAGGCAGGTCAGCTAGGCCGGCGGGGTCTGGGGCCCCGGGTGGGACTAGAGGAGGGTCAGGCTAGGTGTCCGCTGCCCCAGGGCTGCAAGGGCACAGCAGGGTGGAGCTCCAGCTGAGCGGCAAGGCTGAACACCCAGGGTTCGAATCCCGCCCCGTTGCCTGGTGCTGTATGACTGCAGACAATCTGTGCCACCTCTCTGAACCTCAGCTCACTCACCTATGGACGGGGTCATTGCTGCGAGGCGGCGTAAGTGCCTTGGGTGTTCATGGCGGCGTCTGGGACATGGCGAGGACCATGCAGGACAAGAGGGAGGGAGGGACTTCATGGCAGCAGGAGACACAGCTGAGAACTCCATCCCCACGTGGCACAGGGGACCCCACAGGGAAGCGCCATGGGGTCCAGATGCCTCCCTGAGTATGACGGGGTCACCACTGTGCCATGACCTGGGCGGGCCCAGGTCGGTGGGGGGGTGCTCTCTCCCAGTCTCTCCCTTTTACTCCTAAGTGACCTGAGCCTGCTGTGACAAGCAGGTTAGGTCCCTGGATCCCACATGACCCGAGGCCAGGAAGTCCCTGCAGTGACAGGATCTCAGCAGGGCCTCACCTGGGGTGTGCTCTCACCTTGCCTCCCTCTCTGGTGGATGCGTGTACCTGACAGCAAGACTGAAGAAAAGAGTACAGGGCTGCAGGCAGCATGGTGGCTAAGGCGCTGGACTCCCACGGGGCAGACTGCAGTTCAAGTCCTGGACCTGGTGGCTTGCTCTCTCACTTTCTCTCTCTCTCTTTGTGTATCTGTCTCTGGTCAAATTAAAATAAATGAATGAATAAGTTGTAAAAATTCAATAAATAATTCTTTTTTTTCCTTTGGAGAGGTTTATGCTATAGGGCATGTGCGCTCGCCGGACAGATAGACAGAGACAGAGAGACAGAAAGCGAGAAATCACCCCCCAGGGGGGATAGCCATGCTGCAATCCCTTCTCCTCCATTCTCCTCTTTGGATCTTGGGGACGCACGCACATGTGCCCGGCGTGAATTTAAGCCGCTGGGTCCGGGGCTCGAACTGCGGTCAACTACGTGGGAGTCCAATGACACAGCCATTATGCTAACTGCTGGTCCCAATAATTCTGTAAAAAGTTAAAATAAATGAAGTTAAATAAAAGTTTTAAAAAGGAAACAGGAAACGCAGTGTGACCCAGTCGTATGGGGACACACTCACCTGTGAGCAGGGGAGGCTCCACCAGGCCACGGCGGCTGCCCTCGGCCACCCTGCGCTCCTGCGCGACGCCAGGCACAGCCCACGCAGGGCCTATCATGTGACATGCCCAGGGCCAGACAGCAGGTCCCTGGTGACAGAAGGGCTGTGGGACATCTTCCTGTTAGATGAGGGGCCTGCTGGTCCCGGGCGTGCTGCAGAGGGTCTGCGGGTCGGGGTTCACCGTCGTCGCTGGAGAAGAGACCACTGGGACCCCACAGGCGTGCAGTACCGGGCCCTGCAGAGTGGGAGCAGCTAGAAGGAGAGCGCGCTGATGGCCGGCCCAGACCTTCACCCGAGGCCTCCCCTTCCGCCCCGCAGCGAGCAGCGGCCAGGCCCCAGCCTGGACACCCTGTGAGGTGGCTCTCAGACCAGTGGCCATCAGCCGAGGCCAGGCCCGGAGGGGTCCTGGGCAGAGGTGCTTGGGGAAAGCGGAGGGAAGGGGAGTGTGTGTTTCGGGTGATGGTGGGGTGGTTGTTACTATTTTTGAAGAATCATTTAATTTACTTTTACTTACTCGTTTATTTTAATTTGACCAGAGAAGGACAGAGGGAGAGAGGGAAAGTGAGAGAGCGAGCCGCCAGGCCCGAGACCGAGCCTCGCTCAGCCATGTGGGAGTCCAGCGCCCTGATCACCACGTCCCTGCCGGCCCCGGTGGGGCTTCATCATTAGTTTGGTTTATTGGTTTCTGGCAAGGACGCTGCGATGGCTAACAGGCAGAAGAAGGCAAGCCAGAGCCAGCTGGGAGGGCGGCCCGCCGCTGTCGCGGCCCTCCTCCCTCCCTTCCGTCCGGGGTTTGGGGTT